ATAACACTGGATAGGAGCCTGGATAGGAGCCAACACCTGAAGAAACTCAGGAATAAGCTATCCTCGAGGATCAACCTAATCCAGCTCCTCGCTAGGATCTGACGCACGTACCCTTCGAACCGCAACACTCGCTTTGGTCTACTCGACCGCGGAGTACTGCGCTCCCGTGTGGGCCGGCAGCACTCACACAAACGCAATCGACCTGCAGCTGAACGCTGATCTTCGAGTGGTAACCGGATGACTCAAGTCGACTCCGCTCCCGTGGCTCCTAGAGCTCGCGCACATCCCCCTGCCGAAATCCGGCGAGACATGGCGACTGTGGCGCGAGTACAAGATTATTGCCAACCCGTCCCTACCGATTCACCCTGACATCGATGAGACCATCCCGTCCCGCCTAAAATCAAGGCGCCCTTTCTGGACTGTCACGAGAATCCTGCACGACCTGGGGTCGTGCAAGGAAGAACGCTGGCGAGATGCATGGTCTCACATGGACGTAAAAAAAATAAGAACCTCATCGACGATCCATCAGCTGAGGTACCAGGTGTCACACTCCCACACTGCGAATGGGTGACCTTAAATCGCATCTGGACTCTCCACGGTCGATCCGGACACCTGATGCACAAGTGGCGTATTAAACAATCGCCAACGTGCGAATGCGGCACTCCAATCCGAACATTGGAGCACATCATCAACGAACGCCCATTATACTAATTTCCCGGCAGCATCAAGGACATACATTCAGCATCACTAAAAACTTTTGACTGGATTTCAAAGATTAACATCAATTTCTAATAGTCGCTATTCCCGTACGAAAGTAGAAGACTATCAAAATAATGGAAGACGAGCTAAATGAAAGGAACTCGCTGCACATCTTCAGAAATCTTACAACTGGCGTGATTGATGGGCCAATCGTTGTCAGCGGGGTATTTCGCTGTCAAGGAGCTGCAGACATTCTGTAATCCCACTTCATGATGATTGTAATTCATTTTGGCACATTTTCCCATTCGTTTTCTCAATGGAAGGGGAATAACGCTGCGAATTCGGATATCGGCGTACAAGAAGAACTTTCAGCACGCAGAAAACGATGCTCCGCAGGCTTTGCCCATGGGTGGATATTTTCGTTACCATATAATGGAAATTCAACATTCCTCTTCGTTATTTGGAAGACACAAAACGGACAATCGACGATTGAAATTCATCGAGAAAATTGAGTTTCGACACGAATGACGATATTCGGCACTCAGGAGTGCTTTTCAGCCGGATCGAGCAACACAAATGACCCACCGATGAAATCACTAGCATATTTCAACTTGTCAACATGTGTTACGAATTGCTTTCACATTAGGAATGGGTAATAGTCGGTTTAAAGTCGGAGCCACATCATTCAAGTTTAAGATGTTTTTCATAGTTTTCTGTATTGCGGTTGGAACATATGGCCTATCCTGCAGCCCTTTGGGTTCTGACCAGTTAGAAAATGAAAGTCCATTCATTCTCTCCTCAGAAGAATGTCTGATGGCAATCTCCTCGAAATGTCTCAAATTTGAATTTGCGATCCACTCTACCGAGGAAAATTCTTAGTGAATTGTACTCTATTCACACTCGCCGTTGCTTCGACTTCATTTCTGCTCGTCGATAGCACGATAGCAATACCGAAACCATGTGTCTCTTAATACGGCCTTTTCCTCACGGACGATAACAGATATCGTTTTGCCGGAAATGGGGTCGCTTTTCACCGATACTTCTGCAGACCTCTTCGACTACGGAAAGCCGAAAATGAAATACGAATCTCTAACTCGCGGATTCCAATTGACATGCTTGCAGCATTTTTTCACCGTTAACTCAATTATAGGCTCAATTTGTTGGCGTTTCTTGAATTCTTATTGGTTTTTCCTGCTTGAATAATCAAATAGCCCTACCCATTTCCCTTGAATGAATACCACCACTTTTTGAGTTCCTTCCTACTGGAGGTAATTACCTCTGCTCGACCGTCTCAGAATTTAATCACCTTCAGTCACCAGGTCAACAATAGCGCCCTCTATCGTGATACAGCGCATCTAGCAGAGGTGAAAAAAAAACATATTAGACTCATGAACGTCTCTGTCAAGTATCAGCTGGAACCAACCGTCCCTTGAAAGGTTAAAGTTTAAAAGTTCATTGAATTAAGCTTATTCAATGTAATTTTTTTTTTGCATTTATGAAACTGTTTCTCCCATAGAAAACGGCCGAGCGTATTTTTTTATAACCACCCTGCATAATAAATGAGAGGCTAATCAGTCCATGTCAGTGTGTCATTCTGAGAAATACCTTCTAGACCTAAGAACTGATTATAATGATTGATAGGGGAATCGAAAGCTTATGACCTGGAGGCGATACTTATTTGGTTGAAAGTTTAAAATGTAGTCCATTCTGACGTCCTAGGGCCTCATTTCGTCGCAAAGAACACCATTGTTACTACTGAATGCATTCCCTGGGGAGGTGCTCACAACCAACAATGAGAGGACGAGACATTGTCGGTTACAAACTTTTGAAATGGTAACTGCCGGTAATGATTATGTCATAGTTTTGTCACGATATTACCAGTCCCGTCGCAGGTTTACGACGGTGCTTCACGGAAGTGTGCGTATTCAGTTAGTGCTCCATATTATTATTTTAAATGTTGGTGTTGTTTTCAAAATTCCACGAAGAAGGTGGGGAAATCTAAGCTATTCTGCAGCGGGATCTACTAAACGTGCGAGAAATATTGAGACATTCTGGAGTCACAGTCGGTGTATGAAAGCATATAACGGCATTGAGAAAATGATGTTTCCTAGGCTACTTTCAGGAACAATGAAACAGGAGAAGTGAGACCGTAAAGGCATAAACGAAAATGCCTTCACTCGACTCGTTTCAGTCTGCGTGCGGGCTCATGCACTGGTGGTATTTATTCTCAGAGTCATATTCACTTGTATCCAAACCGCGAGGAAGATGCGGAAGATGTGATGAGAATTGGGAACCAATTGTAATAAAAAGAGCAGGATGCTATGCCTCCCACTTACGAAATAACGCTCGATGAGATCGAGGCCGCGAATAAAGTTTCCCCTAATAAAGCCCCTGGCCCCGATAATATTTTCGTTAATAGCATTAAACATCTCTCCTCGCGTGCCCTTCACTCTCTCTATCTCATCTACAACGCCTGTCTCCGCCTAGGACACGTCATTATGGGTCGAGGCCTATCCACAACGAAAGTGATTGGTTCTACAAGGACACAAGCAGGTCTACCCTTGGTGTCTCTACTGTGGGAACTTAGCCTTAAAGTGGACAGTTTCCCAAGGATTTCGCCTTTTTCAGCACAGAGTAGGCTAGTGCAACGAAATGGAGAGTTAGGGACATAGTATATAGACCGGCATCGCGGAAGTTGAAGCCTCCGCCACGAGCGTAGAGACCAGTACTGCATACATCACTACCATCTACGTTTCCACCTAAAATCCACATCGAATTGACGTATCTATGCCACACGTTTACCCCTCCCATCTACCTTTCCACCTACCATCTACGTTTCTACTTAAGATCCACGTCGAATCGACGTATCTGTGCCACACGGGGTAGTTCCCTGAGAATTGATTTCAGTAAAAATATTAATCTTTAGGTAAAACCCCTGATGGCACATTTTTTGCAAAAGGCGCATTTTCCGGAATCCTTTCTGATCCAATGAAAGAGGGAACTAAAGAAATTTGAAATTTAGCTCAGAAGTACCTGTTCGATTGTTGAGTGCAGGTCCTACTTTTCAACTATGGGCAGATTCATGGTAGATTATGATGAGATGTGAAGTTAGGCACGTAAGAAACTAATCGGAGTAATTATTTCGAGAAAAATATCGGTTCGTTCTCTCTCGATACACATTTCGAGAGGCACATTCTTTTAATACGTTTTTGCCACCTTGAAAATAAATTAATGAATGAATCACTATATAGGATAATGGAGCGCGAAGACCCGACCGTAGCTAAGTTCTAGATGGTTCCAAAGGAAAATGCGCCTAAAGCTGGAAACGGAAATTTTCGTGCAGTTTTTCATGCTTTTCTGAGTAACGCAATGAGGTAATTGAACGAAACTTCCACAAACGTAGAGGGATTACATAAACTGTAATGTGCTTTTATCGATGGTATGATTTTTGCCGTAGTTATAGAGGTGCAAAGGTTTGGCGGAAATTGCTTTTCGCGTTAACACGTCCGTCACCAATGTGTTAAAGCGCTCTTTAAAACTAGAAGAACGAGGCAAGTTTCAGTAATTTCGATGGAACGGTTGAGGAGATAACGGCTTTCGAAGAGGATTGTGTTAACCGTGACCTTTGAATCCACGTAGGGTGATCAAAATGTTCCAAGCCTGGGGCACTTCCAGTTACAATGACTCTTTTTAACTTAGATCATGGGAAGACACATGTCTTCGAAAAAAAATCCATGGAAGATATCTTTAATCGACAAATGTGATGAAAATTTGCCAGTCACCAACAATGGGCTACAAAAAGGTCTGCTGAAAGGGTATAAGAAATGAAATGAATGCTGTGATGAATTTTCTAGCTTCTAAGGAGTCAATCTCCGAGCATATCTTTCAGCGGTTAAGAGGATAGTCCTACTGATACTTCTACGAAAGATCTCCAGTCAGCTATTTTCATGTAAATTTTCCTTAATAAACAAATATATGAATTAAAAACTATTAATAACTGGGTCGCAGTGAGAGCTTTATTCAAAGAGCTACAGAAGATGCTATTGATGCTTCTTCAGTTAGTATCTTTCAAATAGCCATATCAAGAGACAGGGATGTGCTCTCTATCTTCGAATCATGCGAGAGAGACATGAGCCAACTCTCCGGAGTCAGCCTATCAATTTCTTAATCGTATGTTCTTACCATTGCACTGCAGGATTGGGAATATGAGATACTGTACATGAGCATGGCTGCATTCTCGTGACGTAGCTTACCTCGGCTTTCTTGCAGACCATCCAGATTCGAGCAACTCGTGGTGCTCGGAAGAAATGAATGCACTTATGTACTAGCTCTTGCGCTTATGTAGGGACACGGGAGATGGCATTCGTGCATGCCATCAGTGCTGCGGGGGTGGCACATGCCGTGACAAGAGCGTGTGCTTCGGGGTCCCTCACCACCTGTGGGTGTGATGCCAACATCCAAGGACGGGAACACGATAGAGCTTTCCGCTGGTCTGGATGCTCACACAACATCAACTATGGATCTAAGTTCTCCAAGTCCTTTGTTGATGCTCGAGAACTACGTTCTCGGAAGAAGTTCAAGAAAAGGAACTTGGACAACGGGGAAGAGGACGACCATCGCCGACGGACTTCAATCATTCTCATGAATCTTCACAACAACGAAGCTGGAAGACAGGTCAGGGCGTGAAGTAACTCCTCTACTAGTAGAGGAGTTATTTACTAGTAGAGTACTAGTAGAGGACAACCCAAGACCTACAAGGCCAAGCACAGTCGGTCTTGGAGAGAAATACGTGGGTCAGTCAAATGAAAACCGGAAAATCGAAATTTAAAATAATTCCCTATTGATGGACGTCCTTGGCTTCCAGTGTATGTTTGCAGAGATTGTGCGAAGATCTGTCATAGCTGGCAACACCATGCGACCAGAAAGAACGGAGCAATCGCTTAAGCAACATGGCACTCACAGTGCCTTGTGCGTCCAAGGAAACTGGGCGTGCCATAGTTCAATGTCTGAATGCTGAAGGTGTGCCACTAATCGAAATTACGGTGAATTGAGCTGTGACTGATTCCTCAATCTGCAGTCGATTCATCCAGTGAAACGTTTCTGTTACTCTGTTTGACCTCGTCCACATTTTGGATCATTTCTGTGGCGACATCGTCGACCTGACCTCGGCGTGAGTCATTCTTCAAACTCCCGCGCCCGCTTTGGACCACTTGCACCACTTGTACGCGTGCCTCCGTGGTAAAAAGCTGTTGGTGTCAACAACACTCATTTAGGAATGGATTTTGATGGGTGGCATACCTTCAGCAGTCAGACATTGAATTACGGCACGCCCCGTTTCCTTGGACGCACAAGGCACTGTGAGTGCCATGTTGCTTAAGCGATTGCTTCGTTCTTTCTGGTCGCATGGTGTTGCCAGCTATGACAGATCTTCGCACAATCTCTGCAAACATACACTGGAAGCCAAGGACGTCCATCAATAGGGAATTATTTTAAATTTCGATTTTCCGGTTTTCATTTGACTGACCCTCGTATTAGGAGAGAATATGTATGAGACAGAGGAGTAGAATCATCTAACAGTGTCTTCCTATGATCCATTAGGTAATCCAGAAGAACATGAAGAAGGAATGCAAATGCCATGGTGTGTCTGGTTCTTGTGAACTAAAGACTTGCTGGAGGGTCATGCCAACTTTCCGACAGGTCCAGTCCGTTCTTTTCCCCTGATTCTGTCAGTGATGAGTGATGCAGTCCTTCATCAGTGGGGTGTACCCACAGGTAGGGGAATTGCTAAGGGACAAATACGATGGAGCTGTGGAGGTGCGAGGAGAACCAGTGGGGAACGAGATCCTTCTTGTGCCTCGTAATCAGCAATTCAAGCCCCAAGCAAGAGAGGACTTGGTCTACATAAAACGAAGCCCAGATTTCTGCGAACTGGACTTGAAGAAAGGTTCTCTCGGCACTCGGGGCCGCTCCTGCAACAAGGTGATCACAACGAATGAAAAACCTCGTGAGTATAAAGAGTATGGTGCTGGCAACTATCAATCCAATTATTTCCTCCCCCCCCCCAGGGTTCTCGAGGAATCGATGGATGCGACCTGCTCTGTTGTAATCGGGGCTACAAGACCCGTCGTCATAAGATTGCAGAGCGATGCAACTGCAAATTCTGGTGGTGCTGCCAAGTTAAGTGCCAAACCTGCGAACGGGAGATCGAAATCCACACCTGCCTGTAACACTTCCTCCACATCTTTTGATTTGTCTACGTTCTCATTATTGTTATTCAGTACATTGCCTTCAAGGTTGTGATGGAAACGTGAAAGAAACGAGAATAGATGCTCACATATTCCTGTCTTTCCTTTCCAAAGAGTCCCTACTATTGAACTCTAACCAAAAACATACGCCAGAGTCATTAACCCCTCAAGCCGGTATTTAAATTGCAAACCGCCTGTGGCAAAGAAAATGTCGCACGTACGAGGTACGGCAAACCAGCCAGAGGGGTTAAACATGAAATGAACTTTGAAGCATAAAAAAATCGCCCTGTGGTTCTTGAGTGATGCACGACGTAGCGGATTATACAACGTGTTACCATCTCCTGGATCGCTGGGCCAAAATTATCTGGACAAAAAGAGGAGGCATAATCTTCAAACTTTATTTGTAACAAAAAAAAATATCAACTACCTCGTTCATGCTAAGGAGGACTAGAGGGGAAAGTCAGGAGAAGAAGTAGGTGGAGTGAAGGACATCTTGGAGGTTGAAGGAGCCCTTGGCAGGGACCTGGTGGAGAACACGGTTCAACTTCCTCTTGGCCATCTCTACCACTGACCCATCCCCCACAAACTCCCTGGGTGAGAAGACATTCACTCTACTTTTTATTTCCCAATCCCTTTTCCCTCCCCCGTCCACATTATCCCACCTCACTCAAAACACGGGATTTCCAGCAAAAATCCTCTGACATCTTGGTCAGTATTCACGTCACACTTCAAGCAAAGAATTCCCTAAAAGATATTCACGTAGCTCTCTCACAGGTTCATCCAAACAAGATCATCCAAGATTGCCTAATAAAGACAATGGTTCTCAGAAGGCTGGGAAATAGGGATGCCCCAGTGGTGCCGTATTCTCGTTCCTCTCTTTAACTAAGGGTTTAAACTTCACACGAATGTCATCAGAGATGAATATGCAAGATTTTACAAGGGAGACGAGCAAGTGGAGTAGATGAGGCTCTGCCTACGCCGATGCTTTTCTCACCGCCCCACGCGCGAGGATTTCGTGTGAGAGGGAAGGATTGAGGAGAGAAAAGAAGATTCAAACTGTGCATGGGTGATGGGTTTCGCCCACTGAATTAATAAAAAAAAACAGCCCTTTACTGTCACTACACTGAAGTTTGGGATCGGAGGGCCGATTAATCGGCCCTCCGAGGAACTCGTAAGCCTCATTGAGTCTTTGCAAAAATTATTTGCCATGCATATGGATCCCAAACTTCAGTGTAGTGACAGTAAAGGGCTCTTGGGAATCGGCCATAGCAGAATGCTGGCGATTCACGTGCAAAGTGATCCATAGCTTCAAGCGGGCCTGTGGAGTGTGTTGGGTAACGGAACAGGTACCGCGGGATCATTGGAGTAGTCCTACAGAAAACGGATGCGTGCCTTGACATGACCCGCAATCACTTTAATTTTGAATCTCGTAGTCGCCCTTCGTCCCCTTCAACCTGTTTGCCTTTGAGCGAACAGTGGAACTCGATCGAATATCATTTCGAGCTCTATGCTAGAGCTTGACATGTAACAGGGTTCTGGTAAAGAAATTTTTCATAAACTGGGCGGGCTCGTTAATTCACTACCCACAAACATGGGGTGAAGGGGGGATTGGTGCACAGGCACCAATCCCCCTCCCCCCGCCTTCCCCATCCTGCAAGCTTTTCCAATCCAATTTTGAGAACAAAAACAGCATTTGAAAAAACTTGATCGGAATTAATGTCCCGATCACGATTCACATTCATTGCAAAAAATTCAGGGCGTGAGGAGCATCTTGCTTCGCTATTGCAGACAGACAGCCTCTGAATACCGGAAGTCCTCAAAAGGAGGACGACAGGCACAACTGAAGCTGTTCAGCGATGAGGCTTTCAGACGATTTTTCAGTTTTGTTTGAATGTGCTTTAAAATTTCATTTTCGTTTCGTTTGGAACATGCAATAAACATAGAAAGAGTTATCACAGCAACCTTACGAGGTAATGAATCCGCACTCAACCATCGTGTCTACAAACAGAAAATCGTGGGTGAGAGATTGATGGACGGAGAGTAAAATGAAACCTTTCAAGAGCATCGTGAACAGCAACGTGTTCCAAACAAAGTGTCGTGCGCGATATGGTCAGGGGAATGGAAAAAAAAATTTAATAAAAAAAAGACAAACGAAAATTAGTGGTCACTTTTGTTACAATGGAATATGATTTGTCTTCTTGGAATTCTGGCATTCGTAAAATCGAAGGCAGCTCAGGCGCTCTTCATACACAGGTGTCTGTACAGTTTTCGCTCGCGGCAGGATCCGCTCAAGAAAGGGTAAAGGCTTTCTTGATTCAGTTTGCGAGAGGGCGCGGAAAACGTGAAACATGAGGAGGTGGGTTCCTGGGTGAGATTGGGGAGGAGTTTCGCGCTTGTGCAAATTTATCTGGGCCCGCCGCTTGGGATGGACTACTCGCATACGAGCTGATGCACGTGCTCAACCGGCTTCCCAGTCCATATCACGGCACAGCTTTGGAACTTAAGACCCCAGCTGGAATATTGCATCCAGTTTTGGAGGCCTACAAATAAGGGCGATCTGTTGGCGCTAGAAATCGCCTCTTGATATCACTAACTCTCCTGACTCCTGACTCTCCTGAACTGTTTCGGTAGTTTAGGTCTGTCTCAGTTGAAGATATGCTGTGGGGAAAAGATCCTGCATTCGACGGACAGTTGCTTTTGTAAAGTGGGCGGCAACGGAGATTCCAAAGGGAACCATATAGATGTTAGTGACTAGGCGGTAGGTGGACTTGGTCCCACAAAAATATCCGTCTTAAACAGGGGTAGGCCTTATGAAACACGAACGTTCGACCTTGATTCGCGATGCCCTAATGGGCAGAAATGCTTCTTGACATCCCTACCCGAACCTTTATCATTAAAAATAAAACGGACATTCACACTTGACCATACAATATCATCCATTCTGGACTCCAGGAATATAGACTTGATGGTTATTGTTGACTTACAGACCCTTTGATCATATTGCAATCCCTGTCCCACTATCCTCAATTATCTTAGAGACACCTGCTGATTATGGTATAAGCAGAAATCCCATTCCTACAGTCATGAAAAATCTAGCTTCTAAAAGAAAGTATTCTCAGGAATCAGATGGAAAAGAGTCCTACATGAGTAGGTCCATAAAAAATTCAGTTCAAATCAGTTGAAGACTTCAACTCAATTCTGCAGACTTACCCATCACTGTAGCTGTACTTCTCAATCAGGTATCTACTGAGGTCTTCTAAGATAGGCTCAGAATGAAGAGCAACAAACTGCTCCCGACATATCTGTGGAGGAAAAAAAAAGGAGCATCGTGTCCCAGTATTATTATTATTTTTCCAATATAAAGACCCTGAACAGGTGGCGCAGTCATGGGACAAACCTGGTTCATGCGGTCCACAGTGGATGCATGGGTCCAAAAACAATCATGGATGGAGACAAATGAGAGGCCCTGGCTCTGACAGAAGAGTGATGTGAGCATCATGTGACACGAGTCCAGAGAATGGATGAAGTTGGGTGGGAATGCATTCTTCTGTTTCATCACGTTTGGACGCCTAGCAAGGAGGATTCGCTTCAAATATAAGTGCCTGAGAGTGAGAGATTGTTGGAGATGCTATGCATCTCATACTCACTCATAGGCATCCATAGAGTAGAAGGGGATGGATCGGAGTGCATCGAGGGATGCCAAGGAAAATCCTCGGAGGAGCCCTCGATGATAGGGTTGGATGATGGGGAATCCCAGTGGAGTCACCCATTCTACACTTTGTCCACAAACTGCCGAGATCAGACGAGCACACTCCGTCAGCCAGTCCTGCATCAAAATGCCATGGAACTGAAGTTGAAAATGGAGAATATGGAAGAAACAAGAAAGATGAAAAAGGTAGTTCACCTGGATGTGTCTGGTGGCAGTAAACATCTCCTGGAGGCTGAGGAAGGTCTTCTGGACAAGGTAGTAGGATGCTGCCCACTGATGCTCCTGTGGGAACTCCTCTATATCTGCACAAACAAAAAATCACAGCCCAATCAACAATCATAAGTAGTTCACATCAAATGTATTGAGTGAGAACTGGAACAAGATAACATCATTCAGAATGAAACACACCACCCCCACTTCAGCGTGCAGGACTCAAATAGAAACAGGAAACTATTGTTCTCATTGGTTCCATCATACTTTCTTGAAATGAAGAAAATAAAATTAAATCAGAAAGGGTGTCCATGAAAATCTCACTCACATTTTGAAGAACATCTCAAAAGGATGCTCTTCAAAAATCAGGGGCAAAGCCATTTTGAATCAATTTGTCAAACAGCAGCTTGCTAAAGAAGAGAAAGTCATCCTAACCCCTGTGAATTTAAATGCATTTACTTAGCTGAGATTTCATGACATTCGGAACAATGTGTTTTGGAATGTCTGGTCTGGTTCTGACAAATTTCCAGCATGCCTTTGGGAAAAGAGGCACTCATTACTGATTTTATTCACACCAATAGAGCTAGTACAGGAAAAAAGCTTTGAAATGTTATCATTATATAAGGAAAACTCCAACCTGACTGGAAAACTCTGACATCAGTTTGAAGAATACATTTTGAGGAAATCAAAGCATTCATGGAGATGCCAAAGATTTGAAATAGTCATAAAAACTGGCAACATTGACACTACTTTTCCATGTCATTTCCAAGTTTGCCTGATGTGGACATTCTTGAATATTTATACTGGGGAGTTTTGGTTACCCATTCAAGGATGGCAAGGGGTGTGGGACTGCTGAAGTCACCAGCAGTTTTAAAATGTATGAGGAAGACATCTAAGATGTGGAGGGGCTCTTCTAGCCATTCTCCTAGGAACATGATTGTGATGTAAGATCTACCAATCAGGAATGACTAGATAGTTGCATGAGCGTCAGTACAGCGTGTGATAGATGCATGAATCATTTCAGTCAGTCATCCAGGAAGGAAAGCTACTATTAATGGCAAAAGCTACTATTAATGGTGAAGCATCTGAAATTCAAGGTTCAGTATGCCCAGGCTGGGTTACTAGACAATTGTTTTGTGTCTGCAGCAAGGGTTCAATAGAAATGGGATAGGATAGATAGGATCGATAGAAATGTAGGTTTTGCTCGAGATGGGTTTCTGGACAATTGTCTCACATACACAACTTGGGTTTCTAGTCAAATATCCCCCAGGACAGCAAATGACATGTCCTCTTTGTCATCAGAGGAGTAGGATGCAACCTGGACATGAACTTTGGTTACCTTGCCACAAGAGACAGGCAGAAAGGAAGCATTATATGTTGTTGGCTAGCGAATGATGGGAGAACAGGACAGAGAGATACAGTCGAAGGTTGCAACGTCTGCATGCAACCATGATGAATTAATGTCAAACAGGAATCAAGAACGTTAGTCCAGTAGGCAAACTGAAAATTTCCTTCCTATAGTGAAACCCCTTCTTAAAGAAAGAGCATTCAGTTGCAATTGATCAAAGCAAGGGGGAAACACTTTACATTTGGATATCTGGGGATTTGAGAGTTTACCAGATTGTACCCTAGCTGTGTATCACTGAGTTGAAATACCCTTAGATTGGATGCCGTTTGAACACAATCTGCAGGGAGATCTGTGGATCTTACTCACTGTTCCAGATCTGGAACATGTAGCCTAAGTGCCATTTGAATATCTGGAACTTGAATGCCTAGTAAAATGTTCACATTGCTATCCTCCTGAAAAATGGGTAACCAAAACTTTCTACTATATGGTACTCCATAAGTCACACATCAGTTTAAATTGGCCACATTTTCTGAAGTAATCAACAGATTGGATTCATACAATTCTCAACTTTAAGAATAACATTAGGAAATTTTGTATGTGTTGAGATTATGACTTCCTCACAAACATCCTGAATGATAAACAAGTTCCTTTAGGCATTCCCAAATGTTTCTTTCTCCTCTTTAGAGTGAATGGTTCCAGAAGGTTGGTGCCAAAGTACACTGTGCTAATGCTTTTATCAACTTCCTGCAAGGGAAACTTGGGAACTGATTGCCTTCCTGATGGCCTGACAGAAGCCCTGTTAATCCATATAACATTTTCTTGGGGGACACCAAAAAGGAACGTGGAACCAAAACCTCAAAATTGGTGTACTTGAAAAGAAACATTCATATTGAGGTCTGAAACATCACTCAAGGGGTTCATGATGGAGTCATTGACACTTTTGAAGTGTCTCCTTACCTATGAGAATATGAGCAATTTAAGTTGTTGTGCCTCTTATAGAACATTTCACAAAAGGGACACTCAATAATTTCTGGCAATACAATTTCATTTTCTGATAGGCAAAAGCCTATAGAAAAGTAAAAGAGGGAGAAAGTATCATGAAAGGATGTGCAGGTAATCTTAGCTTTTTCCAAAAAGAAAATAAAAATGTCACCAAAAATTTTTGTGTGCTTCTCCCTGAGAATAGCTCACAACTTGCAAGTTGTGGGATTTGGGAGATTGGGACTTGTAACAAAAGAACTTTGTAGGCAAGGAGAAAGATCAGCACAGAGTGTCTTTTTTTCCCTCACTCCTCACCTCTGATCCCATCCCCTTTAAACCTCATGCAATTAGAATGATCATGGAATGAGGATGACCTTTGAGCTGTTTGGCGATTTGAAGCCGGGCACCAAAGCGAGTCACACCATACACGGTGGTCATAATGGTCTGCTTTATAACCTTTCTTCTCACAAATCCTTCTAGGACTTTTGCTGTCACCACCCCTTCCTTGGCATCTTTTGCCCTCTCTCGTTCCACCTGCATCCAAGAGGGGAGGGAAACTACATGATGCTTGGATGTGAGGGAATGGCAAGGGAAAACAGAAAAGGAGGAAGGGGCCTACAATTGCAGCAACATCACTGTAAACATCCTGAGGGTTTGGAAGGGGGGCAAGATTGACACTCTGAGCTCCCTGGAGATCTCGACCAAGGGCGGCATAGTGCTGAAGGCCATTGCAGGACCCATCTTGATGAATGGGGAGATGGGATATGTACTCTGAGGGATTGGGGCTCATCAAAGCCTCCCGCAGCTCCATGCATGCTGCCAGTGTCTGCCATGGCTCCTCACTCTCCATCCACCATCGTCTTCCCTGTTCACATCATAAGGCCAACCTTCCTATACATTCCTCTGCATCTCTGGACCAGATCACATCACTCTTCAAAAGAGCTCACAGAAAGGGGATTCTCAGCAGAGTCCAGGATCTCTGGCATAACCTCATTAGCATGTGCCAACCTTTCTGATATCGGGGACCTCTTCTTCTTCCCTGTGAGGTTTACCACATGAATCTGCAAAGGTGTGACAGAAGAACATATTCCTGACTCAGGAGCAGCACTGGTGCTAACACTTACAGAAACCACAATATTAATGACCCAATATTAGTGATACTTTACAATGATTATTCACAACTTATAGTCAATGCACAGAGTAGTCATGTGATTTCATGAAGGTGAAATTGGATGCAGTGCAGCATCATGGGACTTTTTTGTTTATATACCTGATTTGATGCTACACAATTTTGTGTGAAGCAGTTCTGAAGCTACATGATTTCATGCATACAAGGTTTGATGTAACATGGCTTCTGTCTTTAATTCTGCTTGCTTGAAAATCCATTTTTGACTAAGTGTTTAGGTGCTATGTGTTTTTGCATTAAACTTTTTTTGACTGCATATGGTGGGACTTATTTTTATCAAAATTGGCTTCAACAATATGAGATTTGATATTACACAGCATTCTCTGGTAGATATGCTCCCTCAAAAATATATTTAAGAGGGGTAGACATATTTTACACTTTTGCTTATTATGAATGCTTGACCTTGACACGGGATGTCCAAAATGGGCAAAAAGCCTCTTGATGTTCCTAACCTTGAACGTTCCAATCATGCTCAAGAGAATAAAGTCATTAAAAAATTTGCTAGGTTTCTAAGATCTGCTTGCACTACCTGGATAGTTTCCACAATAGATGGCTAGGTTCCATTTAAGATTTCCACTACAGTTAAGGAAAAAAACAAAAGCAATGGATTGTGAAGAGAAAAGAACCTTCAGCCAGTTGAGACCCTGATCTCCAAGGGGTTTTCCCTGGGCAAAAAGAAGAAGGGAGCGCGTGAGATCAGCTCCCAGGTGGTTGAAATGTGGAGGGCAAGGGTAGACCCGGCCACGGAAGTCCATGTTATATGGGAACCAAATCACTCGACCTCGAAACTGGACACAGAAAAATTACCAAGGAGATTAGAGAAATGACAAGAGAATGTAAGAGCAAAAGCATAAAAGGGAATCTAACATGATGGGCAATGGAAAGCTTGTAGAGGGCATCACACCATAGGCTGAACATCTCAGCCTTCTTTCTCTGCAATGCGAGACGCTGACGATGTATGTGGTGTCTTTCTTGCTTTGTTGTTGCAGATGAAAAAGAAGGCAATGGGGGGCATTCTGATGGAGGAGGGGGAACCTCTAACTTCTCATCTCCTTTCTTGTTAAACACATCAACCACCACATTTAGTACCTGCATGAAAAATTTCTAGGCATGAGAAGAACCTCTTTTATCTCCTCATTCCTTGTAGAAGCTACAAGTGTATTGAGTCTTTGAATAAATTTGTTGAGATGATTAAGAAAATGCCTTATTTGTACAGAAATGCTATGGCTATTTTCCATTCCTTCCCAATAGCTGCCAAAGTAATCTATTGATTATATTTCTTTATTCTTCTCAAGATGCCTATATTATCTCCTCATAGGCATAATATGGGGGGGGGGAGAAAATACAAATTCCTATAACTTAAATACTCTACTATAGGTATATATGGAAGGTGATGTTCTTTGACCAATTTGCCTTAAACTTTTAACTAGCTGGAAATAATTCCAGGATAGAGGAAAACCTCGTTAATTCGAAATCGGATAGTTCTAAGTATCAGATACTTTGAAGTCATCTACGTTCCCTGTCTGAGAGAATAGTGATTTATATGCTTCATTGTATGGATAATTTGAAATACAGATACTATGAAATTCGAGGCATTTTCTGGTCCCATGAGCTATAAACTCAGAAATGTGTTTGTTTACTTCAAAGGGCACTTTCCCTATGACCTACAGATGACCTGTCTCAAACTTCACACTCTAAATTGCTGCAAAGCCAGCTAATTGCCTTGGTAACTTCATTTTTCTATTCAGGATTCTAAATATAGACTAATGCCCCCTTTCACTAAATCTCCCCCACTAGCCTCACCTATCTCATTCACATCTTGTATGACCTTCAGTCAAAACACTTAGCATTGTGGCAGCACAGTCTCTCTCTCTCTGCGTTGTGAGTAAAACGGGGGTGAATGTGCCATGGCGAACAAGAGGAAGTACTGTACAATGAGTTCAGTATTTCAAAGAAGTTGGAAGTTAATTTGTTGTTAATTTAATAAGTTGTGAAATGAACAAGAATGAAAAATTAATGACTGATATAGCAAAAAATTCAGCATACCGCTTTTGACTCCATCCACATTCCTTAAAAATTGTGGCACCCTTGAAAAGCTGGCAGAAGGTGGCCATGAAACCAACAAAAGGAAAAGAATGCAAGGCAAAACACACATGAATAGTCTGGCTGAATAGTACAGTATTGCAAAATAACGATGGCCAAACCGGGTAATTCAAACCTGCTTATTTCGAAGTCAATGTTTTTTGGTCCCCTGGATTTCAAATTAACAAAGTTTTCCTGTAAAGTGATGATTGGTAATGATCAGTTTGGGGTCCCAGAAGCCTAAAAATTTGGTTCTAAATTTGTTTGACTTCTAAATAATAGTTTATTTGAAAGAATGAAATGCAATATCCAATTGGAAAACAAATGAAAAATGTTGAGTGATTTTTTTGAAGGAAGTCATTGCCAATGTGTAAAAAAAACTCAAAGCATGTTATCACTACTGCTGGACATTCCAATAGCCCAACTGAGAGGCTGCCAGAAATTTCATGAAACTGGTTCAATGCAAAACCTAACAAAAGCAAGTTGGCCTTCATGAAGAAAATGAGGAGTGAATGGAAATTGAGTGGCTGAGGCCTTCAGTTACTCATCCATGAAGTCTCTCCAATGAGCTGCTCTTGGATTTGGAATATTCTCATTCCTCTATTCAAATGCTCTTGCATCAAATTCCCAACTTGTTTCCTATAAAATTCAAGTTCAGGAAGCACTAAAGCTAGAGGGCAGATGGAAGAGGAATGAATTTTGTCCCTGGCTTTTGCAAAATGAAAAAGAGTATCATTTCCTTGGCTTCTGCTTTTTTAAGTAATGAAGGAAAGTTTCACCATAATGGAATAACCTTGAAGGAGTTGATCTCCTAGCAGATCTTTGAGAGGCAGGTCAGTATTCTACCATCTGCTGAAAGATCTGCTGGGAGATTGACTGCTTCAAGGTTAGAAAATTAATTGCTTTAATTAATTGTCTCAATTTAATACCAGTTCAGCAGACCCTCTTGTAACATATTGAATGAAATTCATATAAGCTGTCCATATCAACAAAAAGATGAAATTTTGTCTGTCACTATCAAAGATATTGTCTTCACATGAGTAAAGTATGAATGGTGTATTAGAAATGCAAGTGCCTCAAGCCAGAACTTTTACTTGACATTCTAAGATGATGGGGCAATGCACTGCAGGAAAGGCACATGGACATAGCAAAAGTCATTCTGAACTTCAAAAGACAATTTCAGGGCAGAATCATCAGTAAAAGTCTTTGGCCCCCTAGCTCCATGGATTCGACTCCATGTGACTTATTTCTGTGGGTTTATGTGAATTTCCAGGCATACATAGTAAACTCTCAAAGTCTGAGTCTGTTGCATGAGAAAATTGCATTGACACCATTGGGAATTACCAGAGAAACACTGGCTGATACTGATATTGTCTCATTGCTAGAGTGCATAAATGCCTGCAAGTTAGGGGTGCTTTGAGTGGGCCTCTTGGCTAATATTGATCAGAGGTATAGTTGTTAAAAGCATCATCACAGAGTCACTGAGTTTGTTTTTAAGGATGTAAAAGAAATTTTGAAGTCACTCCTGTACACACTGTAGAAAGGCATAGAATTCTGTTAATATTAAAGATGCCAACATGTGAAAAGTCTAGCTGCTGCATGCCAAGAATATTGCCATCTTTGGTTGTATTTTTTTTGCATAATTGGCCTAAGCACCTCTTTTCCCTTGCCTACAGTAGTTGAGCATCTCACAAAATGAGTGAGTCAACCCCCCCTCCTTCACATCAGGCACACACTCTTACATCATACACAATACAAATTCTGTTTTTGGCAAGAACTTTGCCAAAAAAAAATTATATATCTGTATATCAAATTTTCCCTGAGATTGGATCAATTTTTTGACACTGACATAAAACAAAGTGATGTACAAAGCTTTGGACACATGGATACACAGACAGGATTGGACTATAAGTGGTTGTTTACCTTTCAGGATAGAGGCCCATTAAATAAGGTAATAATTGATTGACACATTCTCACCAAACAACTCTAAAGATGTGCATAGGTATTAACAGGGCAGCAAGGATTAGCAAATCCACCATCTTTGGATGTGGAGGGCAGAAGGTAAATGGTTTTGTCCCCCAAGAATTCACTAATACTAGAACTACCAGGGTAGTCATCTTGACAGCTCACCATTTTAAACCCTTATCCTGTTTGTTTCTCAGGGGGGATATTTGACAAGTGCACCAACAGCTGAGAAAATTGTCTTGTATTCATTGTTCATGAATTTACCTGAAAATGTTTTGGCATGAATCAAAAGTGGAGATAGCAGAGAATGTTTTCTTATAAAATTTAGTCTTATTGCTCATGAACCTACAGATTGTACAGAAACAGTTTTCTTGGTTGATGCCTGAAGGCAGAAATTATGGCAATCAGATTTTATCATCTATTGCTGGGTTCTAAAGATGGAGGAGCAGGTCTTTTGTGCATTTGCATGTAGGGCGATCTCATTCTTTAATATCACATTGATGGGAAAATTATAAGGAATCAGGCTGAACTGGATGAATGGGGAATATATTTTTAAAATCCCATGAGTGCAGTAAATAGGGACCTTCCTGGGCCCTGCTTCAAGATACTCCATCTAATTTGAGATGCTTGATTGATCTGTTTGGGGAAAATTAATCCATACATCTTATAAAGCCATTCTGTCTGGCACCAGGTGACCCAGAAGTTCCAGACTTTACAGGACTATGGACTCAATGCAAGGCATCTTTAGGAAATATATGGTCATTTGTGGTCATTTCCCAAAATTTTCCAGAAAAAGTACCTGTTCTGCTGAAATTTTCATGGTATCACCTACTCATGTCACTGCATGAATATCTTTACTTACTTACGAATGCACACAGTTGAAACTTGAAAACCATGTAACTGAACTTTCCAGCCTGCATGAGTCAAATATGAAGCCATTCCAGGAGATCTCAGCCATAATGTCATTCAAAATTTTTGTCAGATTTCTTTATGGCAAACCGGATAAGGTTTAAATACACTTTACCCTGCCTGTTTGGCACCTAAGGGCCCCAGCAGTTTTTACTTTTCTTTTCTAATATCGACATTCTGAAGATTTTCACATTTTGAACATACCAAACAACATCTGGGAAAAAAAGAAATGTTACAGAATAATAGTTTCACTACTTAATACTTTTAAGACAGTGGTCAAATTGACTGATTTGATAGTTCCAATGTTCCTTCTTCGTGAGGGAGGACAGATCCAGAAATAATTATTAGACTTCTCTAGCTAAGAGAGCCAACAGAAAGGGAAAAAGGAAATCCTTTCTTAAAAAACAGTAAGGGGGGGGGAGTGTGAAAGCAATCTCTTCTTTGCCCCCCCCCCCTGCACCCACTCAGTCACCCACAAACACACATTGAATGCTTAGCAGGCTCATGGAAAGGTGAGCCTATCTTAGATGAGGAAAAGTAGGAAGCATCAACTTGGGATGTCAAAATTGAAAGAAATGCTTTCTAACATCCAAACCCAAATTCAAATCATACATTATGAGATAGGTTGCTCACTCACTTTGTCATTTACAATCCATGGGATAGAGCCAAGTTGATTGAGTGAATCCAGGACAGGATAGAGATTCCTCACAGGGGTTTGCTCTAGCTGAGACATCTGTGCTCGTGCTCCAAATGGTAACCTGAACAATCAAACATACTCAATTTGACTGATTCAGACTTTGAAAACAAGTCAGATGAGAGTTGTGGGTCTGTATTCTCAAGATATCAATCATGCATGGTTGAAATTTCCTGTTGGCCTGGTTCTACTCACTTTCAGAAGTTGTATGAAGTAGAAGTATCATGGATGTAGCTCATATTTGCACCAATAGTCATATGTCTATTTCAACATGGATAGTGATCCTGCTGGAGTTTCACAGGGTAAGAAAGCATGGATGAAGAGCTTGAAGATAGGGATGAAAGTACCAGTCTGTCTTCTAAGTCCACTAATCTCATCACCAAAAGCTTTTGGAAAACTACTTTACAGCCTATAAATTCAATATGGTTGTTAGGGATAGCACCAACTTTTTAAATCTAACTGACTGATATTGTCAAGATAATTCATGAAATGGTCAACTATTTTTCATATGGGCTTTGGATTAGGATATAAAAGTAGCAATGGGTTAAAACTTTATTCAAAACAGGTGCATGTATGTAGGTATATTGCAATATGCCAATAAATGGCACATAGGGTTGTCAAGATGTATTGACATATTGATCAGTCATAACAATCAGCACCCACTCCCTTACCCCTAAGTTTCAGGGAAAAACAATGAAAGGCAAACTCCCTCTAATGAATGACTGGCAAGGAATGACAAAAGGGAAACTCAACCCCTGCACCATTCCCCCATCCCACCACCCATCAAAGAGAAAATCAATCCTCAAACCAATTTGCAATTAGAGATGATGGAAGCTCCTCCCCTTCTCAAAAGAATCTCAATGAATGGGAAGCAGATTGACTTATCCTCGTTCTGTCAGTACCTTGGGATACAACTGGACAACAAACTCTCTTTTGGAAGCCAGGTAAAAGAAATCTATAGGAAATTCTTCAGCCATTCATTCTTTGCTGTAAACTTGCTTGAATCTATTTCAAGCACTTCAAGTCCTACCTTAATGTTTGTCGAGTCTTGGATTATCCAAATTCTGACTTATCCATTGCCTTTTTATGGTGGATATCTTTCAAAGAGGATGTATTACAGGTTATTAACCATCACACCCATCTAAGTGACCAGCAGACAAAGCAGCTTCAGAAATCCATTCATGAAAGAGTGCAGCAATAAGGAACCCCTTAACAAGATCCAAAATGATGAACATCTGCTATATTCTGATGGGTCTAATTGCTTTCATGGTCAGAATCATTATGCTTGCAGTCGCATGACTCTTCTGAAAATTTAGATGGAGTCTTATTGAAGATCTTTAATTGTCAAAGCCTGGAAAGGGAAAGATTTAATTGCTTCCAGCATGCTTCCTTAGCTAGATTATAGACTGCTTCTTTTTATTTATTTGTGTAGATGATGCCCAACCAATGATAATAATCATAATAATCATAAATTCATTCACCCACCCATCCATTCTTTCATTTGAAGCTTATAAGGAAATAACATATGGGATAAAGTCACTGTTGAAATATACTCCAGCCTCATTGTGTTACCAGGATTTCCCTGGTTTGAAATTTGTGTGAAATATTTCAAATAAAAAAATGGCAAGTTCTCATTAACTCTGGAAATATATAGACTTGATGATTAAAGTAATAATATGAATCATGTATCGATTGAAAGGGCTAAAGAATTTCTATTTAACACTACTCTCAAGGATATATCTTGTTGTGAACTGAACTTTGTCAAAGTTTATGAAAACTTGCAAAATTGGACACTTCCCAATTTATTTTACCTTTGCTTGAAACAAAGCAAAGTTGAAATGCAGCTTCTTCAATTGCTGTTGACTAACATTGCAGTGGTGCTACCATGAAAATTACACTATTAAACACAATTTAAAATATAATTGAACGTTAGGGGTCACACTTATGAGAGGCAAATGATGCAGGTTAACACACATGTGATGTGCCTGAGGACAGACTTCAGCTATATAAGAGGTGTTAATGCTGCATCGCAGGGGAGATTCATCAAGTGGCAGTCACTTGGGTGATTTGTCAAGAGACAGTCATTCAGAGCAGTCGTCAAGGAGCCAGGTGGAACGAACACTCCCACACACACACTGGGACTACATCTTTCCTTTAAATCAATGTGGGTGTATTTGCCAAACATGTGGATATAATCCAGTTCTTCCCCATGAAACTCTGTTCTTATTCTTTTACTTTGTTTTTACTGTGTATTTTATTGTTCACAAATTAAATAGTTCTTAAACTGATGGGGCATCTAAAACTAAAGCCTCAAGTTCTTTTTTAATATTCTAAGGTTGTGGGCCTAAATATCAGAGTCACCCAAGTCCAAGTCACCTGCTTCACCAATCATTATCAAACTTAATGCCACAGGGATTGGTTTCTTCTTTTTCCAAATTCATTCACCCTCTGAAGAGTAAAAGTGAAACTTCACACTGAACCCATGACACATACACTGCCCCTGTGAAGATAGCTAGAATTTGAGTCTAGCACCAAATCTCTCCCTTAAGACCTGTGTTTCACTTCAAATTTCAATAACTAGTGTGCAGTCCTACAAAATAAATAAATTTGAAGGTTTTACAATTGTATAACATTAAAATTAGGGCTAATATAAAAGGCATTTGTTTCTCCACCTGCATGGCTCAATATCCAGTAAATAAATATCTAATGGAAAGGTCTTCAAGACCTTTCCATTCATGGAAATTCATCCACCACATTCAGTAGGAAACTAGAGCAGATGAAAATTAATCAATTGATTAAACATTTATAAGGGTTTTGATTTAATTGACTAATATTTTTAACCAATTAGACCAATTTCAGAATTTCCTACTATGAAAGGATATACAGACATTCAAAGCAAGGTCCCTCAAAAAAACGCATGTTAGTGAGCCTTGCAAACAGGAACTCAAAGGGGATAGTGGCTAGGCTAGGATGAATGTTGGGTAACCAAAATGCGAGGAAAACTATACCTTAGACTGCTTCAAGACTATATTTTCCTTCCTCATTTTTCAACTAGCAGCTTTCAGTATCACTCAAATACACCCTAAATAAACATGCTATGTTAATGTCACCTCAATGCTCTACCTAGGAATGTCTTCAAAATGCACACATACATTCATATAACCTGGATGGATGGATACATTTTTTGGAGGGACCTGCTGCAAGATTATTAAGTAGATGGAGTAGCATGATCAGATAAGGTTTAAGAAACAGAACAAGACAAAAGCCCAATTTTTTTTGGAATGGATATACCTATCTCACTCGGTCAGCAAACCAAATGGTGCATCTGATGTAGCCCTCAACATACTGTAATCAAAGCTGGAAACCCCATCTCTCAAGTACCAGAAAAAGTTGTGCACCCCACAGCTTAATACCATATAACTTCCCAAACTCATTCATGGCCCTCTTGAGCATCTCAGCAGTGTATGTTGCCATTCAACCATTAGTACTTAGAATAGGAGAGAATGAAGAAAGGGGGACCTGATGAGTGGGGCAGAGGAGAGGAGGAACCCGCCAGTGGTGTGGGAGATCCAAGGGAGAGGAGGACAGAGCATGGGAGCAACCTGGGCGTCAAATGTCAGATCATCCAGGCTGGCACCACGATATAACTTCATCAATGTTGGATGAGTCTTCACCTCCTCTTTGGTCATGTGACCTTGCCGCCGGAAGATGGAGTAGAATGCTGGGACCTCCTGTCTAAGGAGGAAGAATCATGCCACTTAAGGATCAGGGAGAAATGAGCAACAAGAGTGTGAGATGACTCACTTGAGCATGGATTTCCCTTTCTTCAGAATGAAAGCATCAAACTTCACTTCCCTCATCATGAGGGAATAAAGGAACTTTCCAATGGAATAGAGGATTCCAGGTGGCCAACTCCTCTCTCCCAGGTCCTACAAACATCAGTATGGTCTTCTCATTGGCCATGGTCCTCTCACTCCAAAGTTCAATGAGAAATGTAATGGAAAAACTCACAAATAAAGTTCTCTTCTGTTCTAGGGCTTCCTGCCAGAATTCTCGAGGCAGTTTTTGCCTGCATTCATGTGAATCCAGATAGAACTTAGAATATGCAGTGTAGAAGTTCCTGAGGCTGTCCACAACACCATAACGCTCACACTCTTGGATCTTGTACCTGTAGGATGCAATTATCTCATGCAGCAGCTTATCTAAGATAATCTAACATGCATTCATTTCACAAAATTGCATTTCCTTCGAGAATACAAAGGTACAAAATATGTTCAAGAAGTCTCAAAGAAAAAGAACCAGAAAATTATCCATGCTCTTTACTTTTTGCACCTTCATCAAAGAAAGTGTAACTTGATAGACAGAAAAACCAAGAGAAGAGCATTAAGAGTATGGATTGCAAAGTAAAGACACTTTCAATTTTAGACCAGTTAGTATACAGTATAGGAATAAGATATTTGCTTTGACTTCTCAACATGGTCTCCACCAACACTGACACACTCTATCCTCTGACCTATCAACATAATGATTCCAGCAACAAAAAAATTTGTGATTGAAGGTTCAATGATGAAGTGCAACAACTGGTGCAGGAGAGAATATCAGGCAGACCAAAAAACTAAGCCCATGAGCAGGTTAAACAAATGAAAGTCAAAGGTGGCAAGGTTTGGACTGTATTGGGAAGTGGGAACACCTCCCACTGTAGGTCCTGCACCTGCTGGGTGCTTACCCAGCAGTATGTGGACAGATATTCTGGTGTTGCAGGAAATGCTACAGCTTGGGTGCCCACATCTTTGGTACCAACTCATTGTACTGTCACCTGTGCATATTGATACCTTGATGTAGCAGTGACCTGGCATGGTGTAAACATAGTCAACTTTTGGCTTTTTGAAATTTCCTTACATCATTTCTGACCAAAAGAAGGTCCCACAAAGAAGATATGAGTGCAGTCTTTTCAAGGAAAGCATCCTTTTTCACACCTGTCCTATCACAGTATCTTCATATAGTTAAAAGTTATGAGGTAGCAAAGATCAATGATACCTTCAAAATAACCTACTTCAACAATCCCTGTTGACCAGTTTCATGCAGGTTTGAACATTTTTTTTTCCATGAAGCTTTTCACTAACATGCTATGAAAGGATTTGTTATTAAAAAATGCTAGGATCTATCAATAGCTGGAGCTAAAAGATGTGCTTTGCAAGCCAGCGACTTTCAAGGGTCATTAACTTCTCTAACCTTGAGTGTGTCTGGGACATGGGTATTTTTTTTAAATTTTGCAATGATTCACATTATGGAATGAAATTGACAGTTTCCCATATCCACTTCAATAACATGACCTGACTCACCAAACCTGTGAAAAATATACAAATAATTTTTAAAAAGCTGCCTCAAAAATTCGTTGAAAGTGTGGTTTTAGGAAAATTATTTATTCTCAATGCTGCATGCAAAGGATGAACATATTCTTAAACAGATTTTAGCATACATGTTTAACTTGCCCTTAAAATAATCTGATTGAGATGAGAGTGACCATAGACCTATAAGATGTATATTCAGCACTTATTAAAAAAGGTCCATTGAAAAGGTGAGGAAAAATATTTCCAAGATCCTCGGCCAAGTTGGCCTTCAAAGGGAATTTGGTTCATTTTACCCATTGGAAATAGTACAGGGTGTTCAAAAAGTCACTGTGCAGTAGAATTCATGACATGATGTAGGAGGCCTCACTGTAGCTAGGAACTACAGACAATAAATTATGTGAATCAGGGATGGTGCTAATATTTGATGAAGTATTGAGTGGAAATTCATGTCTTTGATGATGCAATACATGTGATACGTAGTACAATACTAAATACATGCAACAAAACGAATGAATTCTTCTGTACAGTGACTTTTCAAACACCCTGTATAAGATTTAGGACTTGAGTTGAATTGGAGTAGTTGAAGAGCAAGACTAGACTAAGCTTCTTCCCTCTTTTTTGTGCCAGTCGATATACAACCATTGTTCCCATTATGAATGCTCCAGAGCCAAAGGCTTGGACAATTTTCCAAGTTCTTTTCTTTGAACGAACATACACTGTTTCCAGATTGAATTTGTACCACCTATAGGAGTGCTTCCATCAATTGCAGGTAGTGACGTCTTACACATAGGTGGTTTTGTCTATCACCTGCTGAGGCGAAACCTCTGGAAATGTGTGTTTCCTTCATTCACCACTATAGGGGGATGGCATGAATTCAATTCAGAAACAGTGTAAATGACCAACATCCATTGAAGTAATATTGTTTTTAATTCTTGACCATTTTCTGTCATACTAAAAACCACCTCAGAACAATCAACATTGAAATGGATATGTATCAGGCCAACATCATCCTTTTAACCTTCATCTCTTCTAAAATCATAAGCTTTGAGATGGGGATACATCCTCATATGTAGCTAATGATGTGTATTAGATGTCCCATGATATACTCAACCTGTCTCTCCAATGCTGCTTGATGAGGCATCTCAGAGCAAACGATAAGATGCTAACCTGTGCATGACTTTAGCAGCAATGCTCTTGTAGAGGATATGTGTGGAAGGACTGAACGTTTCTGAGCCTTCTGCCAGTCGATGGATCTCCTGTACATTCAGAAGTGAGGGATTCATGGGAAAGGCTATGAAGGATGGGATCATTAATCATTCCAATATACCTGGATCATAATGTCAACATAGGAATCTGGAGAAAGGACGTGGAGATAGGGCAGAATTGATATAGAGCGACTCCATACAGGATGTGCCTTGTGTCGGAGTTCCAACACCCCAACTCCATTCATGAAGCTCTTGCGCAAGTCTCTTCTCCACTTCTCCTCACACTCCTTCAATCTTGTCCTCTGTTCATATGCATTATTCACCCAGCATCTTAGCCTCAAATTGAATCAGGGATTGCTCAAAGCAAGTGGGAGAGATTATTCATGTAGCAAAGCACATGTCTAATACCACTAATATTTTTAGTCAACTTTGTTGCTTGAATACTTAATTTCACTGCCTTGAAATTCCTATAATGCAACCAGGTCAAAGCAATACATTTAGATCTTTCAATGTTACACTCAAGTTAATGAAAGCATAGAATTCAAGATTCAAGGTTAAGGTGGGTGTTTCACACAATGCTTGTATCAAGGTCAGGCATTAGTATAAATTAAGATACTTTTACCCCACAAGATAGATATTATTGTGGGAATGTATCTATCTGGTGTCTATTTACAGCAGAAGTGTTGCATTTTTTGCTTCTCTGTCCAACCTCTTCTTACAGCTAACCATGGAGGGCATAGTCAATACATCATCATTAAATTATTTACTTACATCCATTACTCCATACAAAAGTCTTTCTCCAACCTTAGTCTCATTAGGGGGGTTAAAACTTAAATTGGTCTCCATCTGGTTCTACTGTCACCATTGAGTTAACATGCCCTACATGATCAATTCCCTATATGCTCTCAAATACCTGGAGGAGGTCCACCTCATTAATCTTCTCCAGAGTAACCAGAGAAGGTTAATGAGAGGAGGAAAGGAAGAAAAGGAAAGCCACTGGTAAAGAGGGTGTCCACCCAGAGTTCTTGTACAACCTGGGTCAAAAAGCCCGGGACTGGTTAGCCAGACTCTTCATCAACATCCACACGACCAGCACCCTACCCAACATTTTGCACGAGGCTATGGTAATCACTCTACCGAAACCAGAAAAACCAACAAATGTCCCATCCAGTTACCGCTCAATATCGCTACTTTGTACTCCATACAAGAATCATATTTGAAAGCAGCTTTTCGAGCGGTGAAGTACCCAAGGACTGGAGGCTAGTGAACGTCATACCAATCTTTAAGTAGAGTGAAAAGAGTAATCCGGGGAATTATAGGCCGGTAATTCTCATGAGTATCCCGGGGAAGATCATGGAAAGCATCCTAAGGGATCACATTTTGGATTCCTTCGAAGGAAATGCGCTCATTCGGGACTCTCAGCATGGCTTTAGGAGGCGTCGTAATCATCTCACCAACCTGCTCGAATTCTACAATTGGGCGACGGAAGAGAGGGATAAAGGGAATCCCGTGGACATTGTCTATTTAGATTTCGCAAAAGCTTTCGATACCGTTCCTCACAAGAGGTTGCGGGTTAAACTGGAGTCGCACGGAATCCAATGTAGGACAAATGAGTGGATCAGTAGCTGGTTGGCAGGACGAGAGCAACAAGTAATGGTAAATGGAGAAGTGTCAACGGAAGTCGGTGTCGCAAGCGGGGTCCCTTCAGGGCTCGGTCAATGAAAAAATATGAAAAATTTCTGTATCTGCCTCCACTCCGGACCATAACGAAGGACCCCACACCTCATACTGTGTATCTATTTGTGCATAGTGTCGAAGAGTCGTTTTTGGCATCATGGAGAGTCAACGCAAAAAAAACCATCAATGAAAACATAAAACCTCACTGAATTCTCTTTCTTTTGGCAATAAAACCATGGCTCCAGTTGAAAAAGAACAAAAGTTATAGCAATTTTAAAATAGGGAGTTACTTTCCACCCACCCTGTAGGTGGCGAATCAGCGCGACCCAAACGTCTTAGATATAGGCGGCATTTGTTTCAGTGAAGTTGAATGGGCCAAGAACAACGGCCTGTTACCTAGGGTTGCCAATCAACAGAAACCACAATGCACCTTCACTCTAAACTGTAATGGTATTCATAATTATTTATTTATATATAGGACATTTGCAAGACATTTGTTCGGTTTTCTTCCTGCACTAACTCTCACTGCTGAATAAGAGCCTTCTATGAGGCCTGGAGGGACTCAAAGAAAGGCTCTGCCTATCCAATTCTACTGTAAGGTGCAATGTGTGCAAGAAAAGAAGTGCCCGCGGAAGGAGTTGGATTATAAGGCAAGGTCGGGTGACCGCAAGGCAAGACAGCAAGATGAGGCCAAACTGCAAATTGGAGATCTCTGTCATTATTTTACTACTTTGGACATGGGCTCTTGAGTTCTCCATTAAGACTTCTAAACGAGTAATGAGGGGCCTCATAGGTGAATGAGCAGACAACCTATTCGATGATTGGCGAAATTATATTCGGGAAGTCTGCCTCCAAGCTCTTCAGCAGGCACCTCCAATGGGCTGTCCAGGAGTGCAAATTCAAATTGATGAATCGTTTTTCAAGGCTAGACGTAAGTACAATCGAGGCAGGTTCATGCCAGGAAACGCTCTCCCTCCAGCAAAGAAAAATTATGGGAATAGGATAGTGGGCCCGTGGATCCTGGGAATAGTCTGGAAACGTGAGGGTCACCCACACGTGTGCAAAAATGCATGAGTCTTGCATGATAAGTGATGGAGATATTCCAAGAAATAAAGTGGCATAATTTTTTTATTTGAGACAGTGTTGAGTCCCAATGCTTCTAAATGCTTCTCACGTGCAATTCATCAAATCCCCTTTTTTTTTATTGCAGCCCATCTATGAACAGACTACAGCAACATTAACCTTTAAAATGTGGCAATCAAGTATACGAGATGCCAGCATGCCATGCTGTGCCAGTATTGTAGAGAACTACAGGGAATCCGGAAAGTTTCTCCCCATGGTTTTTTCAAATTAAAACAGCACTTTGACAAAATATAATTGGCAGGTTAAGTTAGGTACACAATATACTTTCAACAAGAAAGGATTCAAAATGTTGTGTACCTACCACCATTTTTCAGACAAGCTTCAAGGCGTCTACCAAAAGAGTCAGTTAACGTGGCCGTCTCCTCCTGGTTCATGCTGTCCCATTCCTTCCTTACTATTGACTGATTTCTAGGGCGTGGTGTGGATTCCCTGAACACACCATCTTGCAACCTAGCCCATAGATGTTCGATTGGGTTGAGGTTAGGCGAATTTCCAAGCCAATCCTTCCACACACTCTGAAACATGTTAATTGCTGAAATGCTGTGGCTGAGCCGTAGCACCATCTTGCATGAGGATAACTGTTTCACGCTGAGGGAACTGGAGACAGTTCTCAATGCATGATGCATACAAAGGGAGGATATCTAACCCTAATCGAACCTAATTGATACCTAATCAAACATCTACAGGCTAGGTTGCAAGATGGTGTGTTCAGGAAACCCACACCATGCCCTAAAAATCAGTCAATAGTAAGGAAGGAATGGGACAGCATGAACCAGGAGGAGACGGCCGTGTTAACTGACTCTTTTGGTAGACGCCTTGAAGCTTGCCTGAAAAATGGTGGCAGGCACACAGCATATTGAATCCTTTCTCGTTGAAAGAATATTGTGTACGTAACGTAACCCGCCAATTATATTTTGTCAATGTGTTATATTTCTAGTTTTATTTCGAAAAAACCATGGGGAGAAACTTTCCAGTCACCCTGTAGTACACCTGATCTTGATATGTAAGCAGTTATTTTGGCAATCAAATATAGTCAACAAGGTTCTTGTTGTGGAGTTGTTCAGAGATATCCAAAGCATAACTTTTTTTAAGGAGAAGAACAGTATTAATACCTCTTCTTGATATTAATAATTAGGGAATAGAATGAACTGAAATTAATCATTCTGGAATGGAACAGAAACCAGAACACGAGGATCAAGTGGAACAGAATGGAATGCGGAACGAACAAAATTATGTTCCAAAGCTCTTGTTTAAACCACTGGTAGATAATCTTAGTATTTTCAACTTGCATGTGAATGGGCAAACTGCTGGGAACTGGAAACAAAAAAAAAACAATAAAGGAAATTCATCACATAGAGGTTCATTACATCAGGCATCGACTCTACTTGCAAAACTGACTTGTCCATCTTATAATCTTGAACCCTTTTATAGTCGATATAAGATTCTGGGTAGATCTCTTTAGTCTATGGTATGTTGCCACAACATCCATACTTTGGCTTTGATGAAATGAGGGGTTTAACACAATAGGCATTTTGCATCCAATTCCCCACTGACTTCAAGAAAATTTTCCCAAATTAAATTAATGAACTTGGGTGAAATGATCAAACGGAGATGCAAAGACACTTCTGGCAGTTCCAAATAGCTGCTTTGTAGATTGAGAAATAAGAGGTGAAAAAAAAAATGGAATGGATAATGCAGAAGAATGTTGTAAGAACGCTCACATATAGGAGTGTAAGATGGCTAGGAGAAGGTTTGGCTTCAACAGACTTGATGCTAATTTGTCCACTAAGCTCCAATTCCAGCTGTTCCTTCAATCCCTTCTCCAGCTCCTCCACTGTCATCACTCCCTCTGCTGGTGATGTCATCTTAAAAAAGAAAAAAAATTGAAGTTCCATGATTAACAGATCAATACTACATCCCTTCTCATGATTGTCCAGTTTATAGAGACATTGCTGGAAAAGGAAATTTCATGATTTTCAATGTCAGTCAAAATCTGCATTCTGTGAAAACTAATGAGATATTTTGAAAGACTGAACTGAAACAAGAATGTTCTCAGAGCTTCATGATGGTAAATTGAATGGAATTCAATTGAACTACTTTTTGTTTTGATGGATTCTGGTAGTCAAAAACCTCATAAGTTGCAACACACAATGTCAGCCAGGCAATGGCACAATGTCTGGCTAATTTAGATGTGTTGGTTTTTGGAAGGCAAATACCATTTCTGGTAATACAAGTAGGACCACACCATTGTGCAATGGCTATGAATGTTTGGTCTCTAAGGATGATGTAAACTTCCTGAAATGTGCATGGCCAGAGCAATACCTAGAGAATTGACTTTCTCAACGAAATTATTAAAGAATACCTTGCTGTTCATATTGTATACAGAGGCAAGCCTCTGCAACAATTTCAAAAAGCAAATGTTTGCTTTCATCAGTTAAATAGCCAGCACAGATTAGAAGAGTAAATAATAAGCAAGATACAAGGGGTACTAGATCATAAAAGTCATGTTCCCAATTTTCTCAAGAAATAATTCACCAAAGACAATATTTTTTCTTGCACTTAAAGCTCCATGTCTTTAATTCCTTTCCACGTATTCACTGCCAATTTTGATACACTTCTGGAGTCTGCTGACCCACGCATCAAAACAGGCCTGATTATCCTCTTTTTTTAATGAAGCAAGCACTTTACTGACCGCAGAAATCAGCAAATTGCAGTCAGAGAAACGGTGCACACTCAGTGGTTCTTTCATTTTTGGAAATAACCAAAACTCAGAAGGTGCCAAATCTGGCGAATAAGGTGGCGCCTCCACCAGGCTGACTCCCTTGTCTGCCAGAAAACTGATGGTCAGATGTGCCATGTGTGCAGGTGCATTATCATGGTGCAGGTACCAGCGCCTCCAGTCCACATCGGATCGACATCCAGGCATATTTTCGAACACTTCCGGCAAGAAAACTTCAGTGTACCACTTAGCGGTGACTGTTTTGCCCTCTTCCAGCAGAACTGCAGCAATCAGCTCACTTGCAGAGAAGAAAATGGCAAACATTGTTTTCTTTGCGGACTGGAAGTGGCGAAATTTTGTTGGTGATGGCTCTCCTTTCTTGCTCCAGACTTGACCCTGGCGCTTTGTTGTTGGCATATAGAAAGGTACCCAGGTCTCATCACCAGTGATGAGTTTCTGGAAGGTTTTTGCTCGTCCATTTTTGAATTTCTTGAGGAAAAACTTTGCAAAGTCCACTCGTTGCCGCTTTTCCTCTTCTGTCAAGCAGTGTGGAACCCATCGCTCACATTTTTTTGAGAGGCCAAGGTGTTCCTTCAAGATTATTTTGCATGGTGGAGCACTTATCCTAAGGGTCCTCTGGATGACTTCGTAGGTGATTCGTGGATCTTCTTTGATGAGGGCAGCAACAGCAGCGAAATTTTCATCATTGGTCACTGGCTTTGGGCATCCTTTGGACAGCCGATTGTGGCAGTCAAAATTTCCACTCCGAAATTTTTCATACCACCTCTAGACTGTCCTCACAGACAGATCTTTAATCCTACAAATCGTTTTCAGATCATGGAGGCACTTGGAAGCACTTTTTTGAGAGGAAGTTGTATAAAATGAACATGCGGACTTCCTCCTTTGAGAAGACCGGAAAAGCTGGCAGGTCAGCTTCCCTTTTCATTTCCTGCGCCCTTCCATTTTTTCCCATAAATTTGAAAAACATACGGTAACCTCATGAATGATTCTATTGGGTTGGAAAGAAAGTCTTGCAACACCGCAAATTTTTCAAAATTTTATAACTTTATTGAAATGGAATTTCAGTCTACAATGTAATGACCATTGTTGTCTATGACATGTTCCCAATGCACAGGTAACTGCTCGATGCCCTTTGCCCAGAACTCAGGTGATTGCGAAGCGAAGAAACGGCCGACATCATTTTCGAGCTGTGCTCGATCGTCGAAGGCCTTGTCCCACAGGTGATTCTTGAGGGCCCAGAACAAGTGATAGTCAGAAGGGGCCAAGTCCGGAGAATACGCTGGATGGGGTAAAACTTCCCAGCCCAGTTCCGAAATCGTCTGGCGAGTCATCTTCGAACGATTTCCTTCAGAAGGTCCTTTCTGTGCGGAAGAAGGAGCAGTGATTCGCAGACACTGACACGGCTCAGAATCGCTGAGCTGATGAGGGACCCATGTCAAGTAAACCTTCTGATAGCTGAGGTTGTTCAGATGGTTGCCGATGGCCATATGGGTGACTCCAAGTGTAGTCGCCAATTCATGAGTGGTGGCGTTCAGCTTCGTGTTGAGGGCGTTCTGCAGGGCTTCGTCAGAAAGTGTTGCAAGACTTTCTTTCCAACCCAATACATTGTGGAGGAAGAAGAGCAATTGGCTAAGCCTACACAACATGACAAACGACAGCCCTAGTCCCTTGTATGATGCAATATTCCACGAAGTCCACTACTGCTTGATTGGAGATATGAACACTCCTTAGCAGAAGGACTGTGAATACTGATCTCAAGAAGCATTTCTTATGAAGGTCTTTGCCTTTGACTTTTTTCTTTGATATTTCCACAGATCTTGTTGGGTTCAAGATCAGACCTGAGTTTTTCTGATCAGGTATGAACGTTTTCATTCGGATTCGGACCACTGCGCGATCACGTGGAATATCAAGCGGACGAAGAAAAAAAAAAAAACAAAGAAGGTTTCGTACAACTATAAGAAGGCTAATTTCGAGAGACTACGTGAATGCGTCTCAGGCATCGACTGGGAGTCGCGGCTCCGTGGGCAGACGGTAGAGGAGCAGTGGGGGGCGTTCAAGACGTTATTGCAGGGCTTTATGGAGGAATGCATCCCCAAGAAATCCAT